GAAGCATGATTTCAGTCCTCCACTTTCACAGGTAGGAAAATGTGCCCCTTAAATAACTTAATGATTTCTACATGCTGTTCATTCCATCCTCATGCAAAGCCCCGAGGCATTCACTCTGTTTGACAGGGAGGAAACTGAAACCCAGAGAAATGAAATGCAGAACTAGTCATAGAGGCACATGCCTGTGATTCCAGCTCTCAGGAGCTGGAGGCAAGAGAATGGGGAATTCCAAGCCAGCCTGGCCTTCATAGCAAGACCCTGACTCAAAAAAATTAATATAAATAAGACCCAAGTTTGAAGGGATTTGGACAGTATCATGAAAATGATCTAAAACTTGGTAAAATATTGCTGTAGGTCTTTAGCTCAAAGTTATACTAAAACAACAAGTGAAGGGGACAATTTTGCCCCAGACACAACAAGGGACCATTTTGCAGCGTCTGAGGACATTTGACTATAGCAACAGTATCTGGAGTGAATACTACTGCCATCTAGTGGTTAGCATCTAGGATTGCTGCAACCCCATGGCAAGGAAGTCAAAGGGTTACTATTGAGAAATCCTATTCAAGGACCATGTGACCATGTTTGACTTGTTATGTCTATTAGTTGGGTCTCCAACTAATATCAACGTGTAGAATGTTGGTTTCAGGCCTTGGTCTTCTGTCTTGGAAGCTAACACCCAGCAGTACAAAGTGTTTGGAGTCTTGAGCAATAGGTTCTAGTGGACAACCATGAGCAATGACAATAGTTTGTATGTTGGGGGAAGGAGGGTCTTTTCCTGTAGGTGGAGTTTTCCCGTCTCAGCAGCCACTCCCAAATTACCACACTGAGGCTATGTTACTTATAAATGCTTGGCCGATAGCTCAGGCTTATTACTAACTAGTTATTACAACTTAAATTAACCCATTTCTATTCATCTACATTCTGCCATGTGGTTTGTGGCTTTACCTGCCCTCCAGCATGTCCTGCTCCTTCTGCAGCTCCTGTGACCTCCCTGACTCCACCCTTCCTCCTCCCAGCGTCCTCTGTGTCTGACTGTCCCACCTATACTTCCTGCCTGGCTACCGGCCTGTCAGCTTTTTATTAATCAATGAGAGTAATACATATTTACAGTGTACAGAAAGATTATTCCACAGCATTTTGGACCTCTCTAAACCACAACTTGTGAGGAGGTATCCTACACCTGGCTTGTTCTTTTTGTGGTGCTTACAATCAAACCCAGACCTTTGTGCGCTATTGAGCTATAACCCCTCAACCTCACCCTCTCTTTATAAAGACAAATACACGCTGGATTTGGGTCTCATCCTTATACCCTCATGTAACCTTAGTCATTTCTCTAAAGGGCCTTGGTGTAAATACAGTTTTGTTCAGGATGTACTGAGACCTAGGATTTCCTGGAAGGAATTTGGAGGCACAGTTCTGCCCATTATACCTTTCTGATTAATTCTAACACCCATTGGGCAGGTGGGCCTGAGCTGTATGAAAAGCAGGCTGAGCAAGCCATGTGGAACAAGCCAGTAAGCAGCAGCCCCCATGGCCTCTGCCTCAGTTCCTGCTTTAGTTCTTACCCTGACTTCCTTGTGTATTAGTGAGAAGTATGTTTCTCACCTGATGAATGCTGTGCTTTACAGATGCAGCTGCTGAGTCCACAAAACCATGCATGTTTCCATTATACCACAGAGCTATATGTATGTCAATTCCTTAACCAACACAAGCACCCTCTGTGGAGCCCACAGTGACTCCATTTTGTGGCTTGATTCCATCTTGACTCAAGGTCAGAGAGTTCAAGCTTGTCTTTGCCCCTTAAGGCTGGATAACAGGATGTTTGGCCAAAGGCATGGTTACCAGATGTCTTGAGAATTAAAGAGATGTTTACACTTGCTTGTACCCTGAACCATGGTGTCCTTGAGAAAGGGAAGTCTTTTGCCCCACTTGCCTTGAGTATAAAAAGCCTGTGAGAAATAAACTCAGGGCTGCTGCGGTATTTACTCGGAGCCTTCCTGAAGCTATCCTGTGTCTCTGTCTTTTTCTTTTCCATCTACATCTCTATTTTTCCTATCTATTATTTCTCAATCCTCACTCCCCTATTCAGGATTGTTCAACAGGTCAGGCGGGACCTGACAACCCTTTAAAGTCGGTAACTCAGGGCCTGAAACACTTGCCACACGCCTTTAATCCCAGCACTCAGGAGGCCAAGGCAGACAGATCTCTGTGAGTTTGAGGCCAGCCTGGTCTACAGAGTGAGTTCCAGGACAGCCAGGGCTGCATAGTGAGACCTTACCTCAAAAACAAAAACAACAACAAAAAACGAAATAAATAACATGCTATCCCAGCCCACCACCTGCCTTTTTCCTCATCACTCCTCAAATAAATCCCCAAGAAGAGTTTTGTTTTTGTAGAAATGAGAACCCTCCGCCAAATGCTGTTTCATAGGGCCCTGGGGCATACTGCTGGGAACCATTTCCAGCAAATAAATTCCAACCTTCTTTCTTTTGGCCTTTGCAAGTTTCATAGTTAGCAATTATTTATTTAGATTAGTCCTGTTTCTTATTTATTCTCAGAAACATTTCATATTGGTTGATTAGTTCAAACACCTTATGAATCAGCTGGGTTGTTGTGGCGGTTTGGTTTGGTTTGGTTTTTCAAGACAGGGTTTCTCTGTTGTAGCCTTGGCTGTCCTGGAACTTGCTGTGTAGACTGGCCTCGAACTCACAGAGATCCTCCTGTGAGGGATTAAAGGCATGTGCCACCACAGCCCAGCATGAATCAATTCTATGTTAAGTCCACAGCAGTGTATCAAAGGGCATACCAGAGTCTGGATACCGGCTTGGGTGCTATCAGTCTCCTGGGACACAATGAATGCTGTTCCAAGCTCCTTAGTAAACTAAGATGTGTCCTTGGCAGACAGTAGTGAAGAATACCCTAGAACCTCTCTTATCAATTACCATAAGTAAATGCACACATAGGCTTACAGTTCCCCAGAGAGAAAGTCACCTCCTGGCTGGAAACTGAGCCCACAAGGCTGGGTGTCAGGGTATTGATGGATTCTAACAGCTCCCTGGGGGGTGGGGTGGGGAGGCAGCAGCAGCAGCGTCAACTGCACAGACACAGGGAGTCAGTTGAAGACAAACAACAAACTCATTTATTTAATAACAGGGAAGGCCTTATATACCCTCCTCCCAGCACCCAGTCTGTGTTGCAATTTGGTGGCATCGCGTGGTTGTCCCTCATTGGCTGGGCACGATCAGGAACTCTGACAGCCCCTGTTGCTAGGGCTTCAGGCAGACTCCAGGTTGGCTCATAAGGAGTACATTATATGCATCCCTTGGCAACTGGTCTGAGCCAATTTCCTCGACCCTATGGGCCTGTCCTACTACATCAGGTGAATAAGTAAAGAACACTACAACTGGAGAGGGTGTGGAAGTGTGGAGAGTTAGGAGTTTAATATCCCTTCTAGACTGGAATAGCCCTCACTGGAACCTTCCCATGCCTCTTCATCACAATGTGCCCCTCCCTGGTACCAGCTTCTATGGTTAGGAGATGCTGCCTTGAATGGGTCTGGGTCATGAGGGCTCCACCCTTGCTCTATGAAGGACTTGGAGGAGGCCTTTATGTTGTGTGAGGAACAGCATTCTTCTCTTTGCCACCAGAGTAGTCATGTTTGTCCTTTATAAATTACCTAGGCTCAGTCAGTGCATTGCAGCCGCCCAAAATGGACCATGACGCTGGCCAGGAATGTCGCTCTCTTTCCTCTACAGAATATTTGCTTCACTGGATGGGCACCTGATTCCAGCAGAGCCAATCAGAGCTGCAATACTGAAACTAAGGAAAACTCCTTTCTGAGAGCCTTTGGGTCAGAAATCAGGAGGCCTGGGTTCTAGCTCCCCTTCAATCAGGGGTGTCACTTAAAATGTCTGAGCTTCCAATTCCACATCTGAAAATTAGCTACACATCAAAAAAAAAAAAAAATTGTTACAGTCACTGCAAACCCTCCTTTCCTTTGTGGCTACATGAAGGCTTTCTGTGGGAAATCAGAAGCAATGCTCTCCCAAGTCCAGCAGCACATGAAGGATGTCGTTAACACCTATCCGTTTTTGACACTCGATACCTCTTGAGACCCTCGAGGCAGAAGACTCCTGTGGCACTGTCTTGACTCCTTGAACCTCAGTGAGTTCTCGACAGGGTCACAGTGACAACCCCGGGAACAGGAAGAGTCACTCACAAACTGACAAAAGCTGGGAGAGCTGCCGGTAGTGTGATGAACCTGCTGGAGTTGCCAAAATGGCGCTATGAGGAGACCCAATCATCAGTCCTGACTATTCCTCATCCAAAGGGCAGCTGGGTATTTCCTTCATTATTACCACTGTTGTTTCAGAATCCCATACATGCATACATTGTGTTTTAATCCAGCTCACCTGCCACTGCCAACTCCCACAGAACCACCCTACCACTTCTCTCTCCCAATTTCATGCACTTTGGGGGCAGGGGAGCAGGGGACCGGGTCCACTTAATGCTGCCATTATATGCACTGGTGTAGGACCATCCGTTGGCTCAAGGACAACCTATCAAAGGCCACATCCCAGAAGACCCTTCCTCATCCAGTAGCCATCAGCAGCTGGGCGTGGGTCTACATAAGCCCCTCCTCCACCCCCAGTCAGCCTGGTACTTCTCGTGCTTATGAGATACGGAATTTGATATTATCGGGCAGTTGGAGCTGTTAGAACTAAGTTTTTTTGAAAGCAAGACTATCCTTATTCATCAGCGTATCCTCAGAATCTCCCACTGGCACTCGTCAGTGAATAAACTCGCGGAGGTCAGTGTTTAGATATTCTTGTTGCCCAAGGGATGCGTTGCAGGTTTGGCACAGAGCAGGCTCTGGGTGCTGGTTAAATGTACCCACGGTGCCGTGCTGGGCAGTTCAACCCCTCACCCCGGACCTGCGCGCAGGAGCCCGCCCGCGGCGCTGGCAGGGCACGGCCACCAGGTGGCGGGCCACCGAGTCCTCGCGCTGGAGGGCGGAGCGGCCGCAGAGCCGAGCGGTATGTGGGCGCTCGCACGCCGCGCCGCCGTGGGTCTGCTGCCACGGACGGCGTCCGGGGCCTCGGCCTCGGTCGGGATCCCGCGCGGGAGGGAGCCGATCGGAGCGTGCGGCCACCGAGGCCTGCAGGTCACAACCAACGCGGCCTCCGCCGGCCGCCACTCGGTGAGTACGCGCGCTGCGGGCTCACACTCCCGAGCGCAGGCCGCGCCCGCCCTTAGGCTCGGGGACGCGCGCTGCGCGCATGCGCCGGGCTGCACTGGGCGGGCGCGCGCGCGAGCGCCCACATATCGCGCGGGCTTCTGTCCTCGGGTGGGAAGGTGGCTGTGGGGGTGCGTGCCCACGGGGGTCTGTGCAGTGCTGAAGCTGGTCGGTTCCTTTCCCAAGTTTCGGTAGTTAACACACGTGTGTAGCCAGGCGCGTTTACGACTGCGCGTCCTCCGAAGGTAGCACGCAGAATCATGGAAGCCTGGGCTTCGGTGAATCGATTCCCCTGTTCGTGACGTGGGACTTAGCAGGGCTTGTGGAGGAGCTTGGAGTACGGTTTTCTGTTGTTTGTTTGTCTCAATCTGCAGCCCTGGCTAGCCTAGAATTGGCTGTGGTTCCCCAAGCTGGCTTCATACTTGTGATCCTCCTGCCTCCTCTCCAGTGCCGGGATCACAGGTGTACCAGCAGGACCCTAGACTCCAGCTTTTGGACAATGACGGGACCTCGGTTCCACGTGCTGACTCCGCGGCTCTGAAGAGCCCTGTGACCTTGGGGGAATCCTCGCTCTCTGGGGGCAGGGCTTGCCTTTCGGTACCGGGGACATTTAAAGGGTAACGCCCACTTTGCGGTTTTGGCGGGAGAATTAAACTGTTCACAAAGGCCTTAGCCCCTCAGATAAGTTCTCGGTTCCTTGAAGATGCAAAGAACAGAATCGGTTTCTCCGTGGCTTGAAAAGAGAACGCCCAAAGGATAGCAGTGGGGTTAAGGAAGGCTTCCCAGAGAGGGACGTGATAGATGCCAGAGGAGGGGGCTGGGGGAGCATTCCAGGAAAAGAAGCACTGTGGAAAAGGTGGAGGCTGCGGGCTAGCACTGTCTGCAGATTCACACCCAGCCAGGGATACATGAGATCCTGTCTTTAATCCCAGCACTCGGGAGGCAGAGCCAGGCGGATCTCTGTGAGTTCGAGGCCAACCTGGGCTACCAAGTGAGTTCCAGGAAAGGCGCAAAGCTACACAGAGAAACCCTGTCTCGAAAAACCAAAAAAAAAAAACAAAACAAAAACAAAACAGGGCTAGCCATGTAGCTCAGTGGTGAGGTAGTCACTTAGCGTTCGTTCTGGGTTCATTTCTTAATGAAAGAGAATTTTAAAACTATGAGAAAGACAGCTGGGATTTGAAGGGCAGGACCCGGGACCCCCGCTTTCTCAAACACTTTCCCGGATGTTTTCAGCCCTGTTCTGCTTCCCAGCCATGTAATTCTTCGCTTGCCTGGCGCCTGACAGCTAGGCTCCAGTTCCAACTGTGCACGTTGGATCTCTGCATCTTTGTGAGCCTGAGCAACTTCCTCTTTGGCGTCTCAGGTTCCTCGCCTGTAAAATACAAGTCCAGTCCACCTTTATCCTCAGATTCTGTTCTCACTGACTCATTAATACTCCTTGTCCCCAGTTGTCTATCTTGGTGCTCTTGCAGTCATTTTGAAGGCTGCAGAGTGACGAAATGCTCTAGACCCATGGAGGGTGTTCCCAGCGGTGGCCCAACAAGGCATTGTTCTGCTTGCTTTCACCGTCTCGGTGTGAGCAAATGTTCAGTCTGTTCAGTGGCGTGTGTTTTCACATTTCTGTACTTCTTGGTGATGTTTGAAAGTGGTCCCCAAGCCTAGAGCCACAGTAAACACAGACTGTGACATGCCCTACAAAGAAACTATGTGTCAGATATGCTTCACTCCAGCATAAGTTATAAGTCTATTGCTTCAAGTTCAATATTAATGAATCAATAATATATATTAAATAAAGTGTCCTTAAACAGAAACACATACCAAACAAGAGTATACATCAACCATTTGATGGTTATGACTCGGAGACTTGCAGGGACCCAGCCTGTGTCCCCTAGGAACAAGTGCAGCAACTTTATAGGACCACCCCCTCTTGATGATAATGATGGAGTAAGGGCTGGAGAGATGGCTCAGCATTTAAGAACACTTGTTCTTCTTAGAGAGGACCTGAGTTTGATTCCCAACACCCATAAAAGGCAGCTTACAGCCTTCCACAACTCCAGTGAGAGGAGATCAGATGCCCTCTTCTCCCTCCAAGAGCACCTGCACACACGTTGTGTACACCACAGTCATTGCCTGCTCAAGAGCAGTCACTATCTCTGACCCTTTGCATGGCAACCAGAGTAGCATTTTGAAGCAGTAGTTCTCATCATGAAAACTTCTTGCCTTGCCAGAATGAAGTCCTCACTCCATCACTTCTCTACACACACACACACACACACACACACACACACACACACCTGCCACCTTAGCTAAGACTATACCACTTTTCTCTGGCTCTGCACTCTGTCTCACCTGGTCATAATCAACACACATGCCATTGCCCAGTGCCCACCTGTTCAAGACGAAGAAAAATCAACAGGTCACATCCTGCTGGTAGGATCCATCAGACACAGCCAGTCAGCTCTTGTTTGGACTTCAGCAGAATTCTGCCTCTTGCCATTTTTTGATGCTTTTTTTTAAAAGTCAAATTCTAGGGGTACTGGGGTGCTTCCCTATCTCTGGGGAGCCACCAGATCTCCTGAACAGCTTGCAGCAGCTGCACCACCATGGGCGAGGTGGTCTGTCTGGTTCCACACAGCGTGGCCACTCGAGGTGCAGCCAGCACAGCTGAGGACCAGATTCTGCCTTATCTCAATACATTTAGAGAGCTCCCCGTGTCTCAAGACTGTCCTATCAGATAGCACAGGCTTAGCAGAGAGACTGTGAGAAAAACACTAGGGGATGATGGGGGGCAAATCCTAAGACAGATGCTGTCACGGGCTACTGGTGAATCTGGAAGTGCCAGGCTGTAAATCCTGTATTGCTGGATTAGAATAGACTAAGATGTGGTCACTGATGTTCTTAACTTTGGCTTTTAGAGTCTGAGCCTCCACTACCTCGATCAGATTCTGAACATCAAGAAGCAGAGTGTCTGTGTGGTACATCTGAGGAACTCGGGAACTTCGGACAACTCAAGGTGAGATGAAGACACCTTCCACCTCAGGCATCTCTCCCTCTCCCTCGCTTCCCATGTAGAAACTGTTTTCTCCCTGGGAACAACCCTTAGTGACATCATTCGTATCACTAAGCATCTGCCATGTTACTTTTAGTGACAAGTGTTTCTGTGTGGATATCCCAGACTCCCTTTAGTTCATCCCTATTGTTGGGTATTTAGTTTTTTTCCCAGAGTTTTGTGATTTCTCCAGCACGATAATGGGGAGATATCATAGCTGTTATTGCACAAGAAATTACAGATGAAGCAACAGTATGCAGAGTCAGTGGCCTGCAGGCCTTGCCAGACAGGGCACCCTATCAGAGAGACATTCATCTGGTGGGTTGACATCCGAATTATCAATTGCTATAAGCTGTATTTGCGTCCTGGCCTGCAGTAGTGTGTGACAATGGCTTCTGGCAGAAGATCTCATAACCGACGTGTACCCTTACTGGGGCACAGAAGCCCGCAGAAGGAAGATTGTTGCAGCGGTCTATTCTTTCGATTTGCTGTTGGGGATGGAACACAGGCCCGTAGGCATGGTACATTCAGATCTAGCTCTGAGCCACTTCCCAGTGCAGCAGTAGTTTATTGTCGTAATCAGATGCCATAGAAGTCATCAGAGGTGTTAGTATTCATCGGCTTCTACAGCTGTCACCACTACCTAATTCCGGGAAATGTTCCCTACTCCAGATTCTGTCCTTCGTTCGTCATAGGGTTCCTCTGCTGCAGAACCGACTAATCAACTCGTCTCTGTGGGTTCATAGCAACCCGCAAGGAGTTGCGGGGTTTGTTTTGTTTTGTTGGTTTGTTTTAGACTGAGTTTCTCTGTATAGCCCAGGCTTGAACTCATAGTCCTCCTGCCTCAGCTTCAGGGGTGTACAGAAAGCCCTGTTTGCCCCTCATTCTGTCTTTCATGACATCTCTCTTTTCAGTTTGTTTATTTTTGTTGTTTTTCAAGACAGCATTTCTATGTGTAGCCCTGGCTGTCCTGGAACTCACAGAGATCTGCCTGCCTCTGCCTCCTGAATGCTGGGACTAAAGGTGTGCGCCATTTTTAAATCTTCATTTTAAAAACCTTCACTAAGTTCATTATCTTTTCACATGCTCACTGGCCATTTGGATATCTTTTATGAAATCCGTACAAGTGTTTTACCCGTTTTTTCTGTTGGGTATTCTTTTTATTGATTTGTATTCTGGACGGGTCTAGTTTCAGATACGTGCAATATAAGCATTTTTCCCCCACGTTCTGTCTTGCCCAACAAAAATTTAGTAACAAAGGCAATGAAAACAGCAGCCTCGGTGTTCAGCGGAAGTAGATGTGTAAAATAAAGAAAATATGATGAACTAGACACAGTAGTACACACCTGTAATCACAGCTGCTTGGAAAGCTGAGGCAGGAGGATCATAAATTCCAGGCCAACTACCTAGGAGGACCTTGTCTCAAAGAAAAACAAACAAGGCACTTCATTTTTATATTTTCAAAAATTTCAGATAGTCTAAAAGAACAGCGTAAAGACTTACAGGGGATGTAAGGCAGTCGCCTCTGGGGAGGGTAGTCATTTGGAAAATAGGCTACCTCTCTCCCGCAGCTTCTTTTATCAACCTGAAGTCTTTGCTCTGTACATGATAAAGATTTCCCATCAATTTAAAAATGTGAACGAGGGCCTAGAGAGATGGCTTAGCAGTTAAGAGCACTGGCTGCTCATGCAGAAGACCCAGGTTCGGTTCTCAGCACCCACGTGGCAGCTCACAACTGTCTGTAACTCCAGTTCCAGGGAATCTGGCACCCTCACACAGACTTACATGCAGGCAAAACACCAATGCACATAAAATAAAAATAAACAAATCGTTAAAAAAATACACTCAATCCTCAGTTAAAATATAAATAATAAAAAAATAAATGAAAAGTAAACAAATGAGAAAAGCTAGGTGTGGTGGCTCACGACTGTGATGTCAACACTCAGGAGGCTGAGGCGAGCCCAAGTGTTGCCAAGCGATTGTAGCCTATCAGGTACTAACCAGAAAAGAGGCTCAGAGAAGCAAGGCAGAGCAGGGCTGTCCTGAACCCTAGTGTTTGGGGTCTCACTCACACTCCGTGTTGCTAGCTGGTTACTTCTGCTGGAAGGCATTGTGTGTGTGTGTGTGTGTGTGTGTGTGTGTGTGTGTGTGTGTGTATGTGTGTGTGTGTTTATTGTGATTGTGCAGTTGGTGACAATACTCTGGTGGGTCTCTTCCTCCTGCAGCTCTCTAGACGAGACAGCTTATGAAAGACTTGCAGAGGAGACACTGGACGCCCTGGCAGAGTTCTTTGAAGACTTGGCAGACAAGCCCTATACCCTGGAGGACTACGATGTCTCCTTTGGGGTACCTTTGGCTTTTTTTATTTTCTGTTTCCAACTTAAAAACTGTAACTTAGATGGGCACTGGGGGTGGGTGCATGCCTTTGATTCCACCACTCAGGAGGCAGAGGCAAGTCAGATCTCCGAGTTCGAGGCCAGCCTGGTCTACAGAGCGAGTCCCAGGACAGCTGGGACTACACAGAAAAACCCTGCCTGGAGATGTAGTTCGGTTGGTAGAGTGCTTGCCTAGCATACACACAGCCTGGCTTCAGTCCCTAGCTGGAATACAACTGAGCGTAGTAGCACATCCCTATAATCCTAGCACTCAGGAGGTAGAGGCAGGAGGATTAGAAAGAAATTCAAGGTCATCCTCAGCAACATAGCAAGGTTGAGGGGAGCCCAGACTAAGTGTGAACCTTTCTCAGAAAAAGAAAAACTAAACAAACAATAAAAAAATGAACGTCATATGTGCACAATTGAAATTAAAACAAAAGAATGCCCTCCAGGCAGGCAAGGTAACACACAGCTGTAACTCTACACTCTAGGAGGATTACTGAGTGTTCAAGGCTAGCTTGGTCTACACAGTGAGGTCCAGACCAGCCGGGACTACATAGTGATGCTCAGTCTCAAAGACCAGGGGGACTGGTGGAGGGCTCAGTGCGTAAAGCCGCTGCCCCCCTAAACCTGATAACCTCTGTTGAATTCTTAGAGCCCACGTGGGGGTGGAAGAAGAAACCGACTCCACATCCTGCCATGCGAGTGGACCCATTCCTCATACACACACATTCAGAATAATAATAAGTAAATCTTAAAAATAATAATATAGATTTTTAAAAAAATAACCTCCAACAGACATAACCGTCTAGCAACATAGATTGTGGTTGGAGCATAAAAGCTAGAATTCATGTGACAGCCCAGCTCTGCCAGTGACTTTGGGGGAGTCACTCTGCCTCTGTGAGCCTCTTCTGTTTAAAAACACATTCCCTGGGGTGGGTAGTGAAGGGAAGAGCCCTTTACCCACCATAGGTGAAGCCCCGGCTTCAATCTCTAGTATTGAATAAAATATAGAGTTCCAGGATCCAACCTGTGGACAGTTGTCGAAGCGGTTCAGACTCGGTGTGTGGGCCCTCTGCTTGCTCCTTTCTGCTGTAAGAAGAAGCCTGTCCTGAGGGGTTTGTTGTTTTGGTTTGGTTTTGGTTTTTTGTTTTGTTTTAATTAATTTATTTTATTTTATGTGCAATGGTGCTTGGCATGCATGTGTGTCTGTATGAGGTGTCAGGTCCCCTGGAACTGGAGTTACAGACAGTCGTGAGCTGCCCTGTGGGTGCTGGGAATTGAACCCAGGTCCTCTGGAAGATAAGTCAGTGCTCTTAACCACTGAGCCATCTCTGCAGCCCCCTTTGTTTGGTTTTTTGAGACAGGGTCTCTCTATGTAGCCCTGGCTGTCCTGGAACTTGCCGTATAGACCAGGCTGACCTTGAGTGATCCTCTAGGACTAAATGTGCACCACCACACCCTGGCTCACCTGGAATTCTGATGTGCAGCCTTGAATCCAACCCCTGGAAATTTTGATTTAATTAATGTGTAATGTACTCTAGACAAGGAGCTGGATTTACAGATTGTACCCAGTGACGGCTGAGAGCTTCTGAATTGGATGAGCATTACCCCAGCCACCACGGAAGCTGGGGAAGTTTCCATGCTGGCCACCAGGTGGCAGACGAAGCAAGAGTCTGCTTAGGCCTTTACCTTTGGGAGAAAAATGTCTCCTCCTTTTCTTACCCATCCCCCCTCCACTACCACCCCAATCCAGGCAGAGAGGTTAATCCTTTTAACAGCAATTAATTAATACCAGGAAATGTCATGAAGTGTGCCTTTTGTGAATTTTGGAGTGAATTGTAGGATTATGTAGTGCAGATGGTTGTCAAAATGATAGAGGGGAAATGGTTTAAAAAATACTTTCAAATTCATTATTTTTATTTCTTAATGAGAAGTCCAATGTATGTGAGGGTCCCTGCTCAACATGACATCTCCCATGTGCGTATTTCTACCGATGACCAGGTGACAACAGTCTGCAGTTCTTGTGCCTGCAGGAGCAGGCCTGACTTCACTAGCACCAATCAGTGAGCCTGGCCAGCTGGGACTGGTTCTGCTCTGATTGGCTGGCGGGTGTGAGGGTCTCCTGTTGGTCACTGTGCCTCAGCAATTGCTCAGTATTTTGTTTCTTTCCATTGTGGTTTGATCTGGATGTCCCACAGAGACTCATGTGTTGAAGGCCAGGTTCCTAGCTGGTAGTGTCACTGAGAGGTATGTAACACGAATCTTAAAACGTCTTATTAATAAAAACCTCAGTGCCAGCTATTGGGGTGAATTCTGAAAGAGCAGAGAGACAGAACAAGCCACAGCTAACCTCACCTCGTCAACTTCTCAGCTGATCCTGTTTCCTCAAACTGAAAGCCTCTGAGTCCTCATCCTGAATGGATCTCAGCTGAACTGCTCTTAAAAGCCTAAAAGCTTAAAAGTCCCTAGTTCCTGGTCCTCATACCTTATACCTTTCTGCTTCCTACCATCACTTCCTGGAATTAAAGATGTGTGTCTTTCCCAAGCAAAGACATGAGATCTCAAGTGCTGGAGTTAAAGGTGTGTGCCACCACACATGGCTCTGTTCCTAGTGTGGCCTTGAACTCACAGAGATCCCTCCAGATCTCTACCTCCGGAATGCTAGGATTAAAGGCGTGTGTGCCACCACGTCCGTCTCTATGTCTAATCTAGTGACTGTTCTGTTCTCTGACCCCAGAAAAGTTTATTAGGGTACACAGTATATTGGGGGACACAATAAATCACCACAGAAGTGATTGGATCACGAGGCCCCTGACCTAACTGAAGAATTGTTTGCTGATGGTTTTATGACTAGGTGGCTGCCGAGGGGACAGTGGAGAGTATGGGAGGAGATGGAGACTGGGGGGTGCTGGAAGAAGTGGTTCACTGGAGTCTTGTCCTGATAGACATGATTATCTCTGGCCTCTTGCCCCTCTTTGCTTCCCGGCTGCCATGAGGAGCAGCTCCCCCGTCATACCCTTCTTCTGCCTCTGTGGTGCTGTGCCGGACCACAGACCAGAGACAGTGCAGCCAGACACCCCTAGACTGAAAACTCGGACACTGTAAGGCAGTCTGTTTTCTCAGATATTTGTCACAGCAGGGAAAGTGTGAGTAATACTGTCCCCTCCCTGCACGTAAATGTGCCCACACTCCCAAATGGACTCACATTGGCTAAAGAATGGCAGTGGGCGCTGAAAACCTTCTCTGTGGAATCTACTTGCAGACACTTCTAAATGTCTCGAGGCCCCTGCTAAGCCAGCAGAGCAGCTGGTCTAGTCCCTCCTGCCACTGTCCTTTGGAGTAGCTGAGAACCCTGAGGAAAGACTAATCACAGTAATCAGGCTGGTAGAGGAACTAACTGAGCTTTGTGATCTCTGCCTTGGTAACCTTGCCCTTCATTTTGGCAGATAGTACCACAGACAGGGTCCCCTCAGTCGCTGTTTGTCCACTGGTCCATTCATCCACAAATATAATAAGTACTTTTACGTCCATCCTGGGTTTGAGTGGAAGCATATAGGTGCTGACTGAGTCGCTTCTTCCTAGGGACTCAAAATAGTGGAGGTGGGGGCCAGGGGACAGCAAGCTCCTTCACACACAAGTCATGCTGAAGTAGTTCAAAGCATGAGAGGCTGCAGGCACTCTGCCAAGTGGAAAGGCCCAGGTAACCTTCCCAGAGGCACTTGCACAGGTCCTGGAGCAAGAGGGGCCCACAGGGAAGATGCCAGAAGACAGCTAGAACACTGTGGAGCTAGGTCTCCCGTGTCTGGTTTTCGCTGGGTTGTTTTGTTTTAGAACACATCAGTTTAATTGATTTGCACTGTGGGATCCCTCCAAAGATTGGGGATCGGAAAGTAAAGTGATTGAGTGGGCTGTCCCTGGTGTGGTCCCTCGTTATAGTAATGACTAGGTACTGGTGTGGAGTCCTTGAGCAGAGTCCTTGAGGAGGCAGCCAGATGTTGAGTGCCAATCAGAATGATGTGACTTCTGCAGGGCCAGGGCTGGTTAGGAAGGAGAGTGGACTTGGGAGTCACATCTAGAGAGTTAGTCAGTCTTGGCATTTGCCCTGGACCACCAAGCCTCAGCGTGTAGGGTAGAACACACGGGACATTTATCAACACAGATAGGTAAGTCAGAGGTGAGTGTGTGGTTCCACTGAGTCTGTTAGCCCATAGCAGGAAGCATGAAACTGTAGAGTTGGATGAAGAGCCCGGTGCTGAGGGGCTGCTGGGTTGGGGGGATTAGCACCCAGTGTGCACAGTGTTTGGAGGAAATTAACGTTGAATGTGTACATTGTTTCAGTTTTCCCAGGTGGAGAGATTTCTGAATGGCCCTAGAGCAACAATGTGAATATACTCAATACTGCTGTACTGTGTAACTTAGTTATAGGCAAATTTAATGTTGTTTTTTCCAAAGATAAAAAGAGAGAAACTACATAAACTAGCAGCTAAGAACGAAGGTTCAGAAGGGTGAGGGAGTTGCCCATGACAGGAAGAACAGTGTCTTTGAGCCCAAGCAGCCCTGCATTTCAGATCAACCCTGCGGGTTGCTGATACTTCGTTTTGTGTTTTTGCTATCCTGAACCTCTTTTAAAATTGGGATAGTGATTTCTGCCTTCACAGTTGGTCTAGTTGAAAACAGTTCCCGAGTGTGTCCAAACACAGATCCTGGCACACACTTGGCTCTGAGTAAAGAGGAATCTGTGTCTGCTGAGGGTCTTGCTGTGGTTTTAAACCTGCATCCCCAACATCTCTATCAGGAACTTTTGTGGGTTTGGTTTGGTATGTCTTGGTTCTTTTTAGATAGTTTTGTGTTGCCCAGGCTGGCCCCAACCTTGAACTTCTGATCTTCTACTGCCTGAGACCTGGGATTACAAAGCCTGATGCACCTTTTTGTAGGTGGAAGTTTCTCTCCCGTATCTCAGAGAGAGAAAGAGAAATCACTGGTGCCCCCCTCCCATACCTGTTGGTTACATTATTATCGGTCCCAGCCTCTAGCATTTATTTAAATGGCTGGCTGTGTTTGTAAGAGTGTGCTGTGAGAATCACCCCAAGACTCCTGATTGGATGAGCACTCTGCAGAGCTCAGAGCAAAGCATTGGTGCCCTAGGCTCCCACCTGCTTTCATTCAGGGTGTACTTACTGCCCCGTGCATTGTGTCACAGCCTGCCATTCTAAAGGGACTAAGGCTTGAGAGTGAAGGACTCCTTTGTTGAGTGTTTTCAAATTTAAATGTTCGTTTATCGAACAAAAGTGGACTGGCCAGTCTTTTGAGAATGCAAGGCTTTTTAGGGGGAAATGAAGCCTTATGGAGTCCCTGAGCACTTGTTAGCTGCCTGGGAAGGGTCTGGATAATGCAGGTAGTCTGGGGCTGCCCCGCCTGCTCTCCTAAGACAGACAAGGCAGAGCGTTGATTACTTTCTTCTCTTGCCTTTTACGTGTTGTTGTGCAGCCTGCTGGCCTCAGACTCCCCGTTTCCCACCTCAGCCTCCCAAGCACTGACATCACAGGTTTTTGCCGCCACACCTGCTTTCTCTCTGTGTCTCCACAATGGCCTTGTCAGGTCTGACACTTGGGCAGACACCTTTAGAGTTTACTCTGTTTGGACATGTTCTGATGGGCAGTGGAGGGCAGAAAGCCAGTGCTCTGCTTTACCATTGCCGAGCTCCCAGGCAAGTCTTAACCTCTCTTTCCTGGCCGACCACACAGGCAGAGAGCAAGCGGTGTGAGCCAGCTTCCAGCATTGTTATGCCCAATCCACTGTGGTGGCCGCAGAGATGGCTCAGTGGCTGCGAGCTTGCTACTCTAGCGTGAGAACCAGCCTTTGGATCCCAGCACCCGCATCACATCAGGTGGCTCACGGACACCTGGAACTCCAGCTGCAAGAGGTCCTGGGCGCCTTTGGCCTCCGAGGGCACCAGTGCACACACAGTTGAATGGAAACACGGACATAAGTAAAAGTAAACAGCTCTCTAATCCACTCTCGTCCCGACAGTCATGTCTTTGCTGCACACATTCCTAGCTGCGAACACTAATTTTTGTTTGGTTTTGATCCCAAGAATTGAACAGGGGACTTCCCAGCTCCTGAACACATACTGCCAGTGCCCTGCACCCCCAGGTCCCCCCCCTTTTTTTATGGTGTGTGTTATGTCCTTGGATACGTGAAAGGCGTTGAGATGTGAACACGTATTTATATATATTTGTTCTTGTGCTAACTAATCTTGTTTAATTTCTTCACACTTTCTTCCACCCGACCCCCTAGGGCGGCGTGCTAACCGTTAAGCTGGGCGGGGATCTAGGGACCTACGTGATCAATAAGCAGACTCCAAACAAGCAGATCTGGTTATCGTCTCCCTCCAGGTACGTTCAGAAGTCACAATCTGTAAGGGGTGAACTCATCTGGAATGCCGTGTTGGGGACCATTTGAGAGGGTGTCTGTCACTGGCTTTGCCGTGGCTTTACAGCTGTGCGCCTCGGCAGAAAGGCTGCTTCCGGTTGAACGTTTCACCCCATTGAGAACTTGGTTGCTATCCTCAGGCATGAGGATGTTGACAAGACCTAAAGCAAGGGGAACTTTTCAGAACCTGGCCCAGACAGTGTTTCTCTGTTAGGTCATTGCCCAGAAAAGAAAAATCACTGGCTTGCCTGTGGAAAAGATCCTTTTTCCAGGCATAGTGTACCCTATCTATAGTCTCCCTACTCAGGAGGTAGAGGCCGTAGTTCAGAGTGCCTGCCTTGCTACATAGCCAGTTCAAAGGCTAGGCTGGGCTGTCATGGAAGACCCTGTCACAAAGGCAATAGGCCAACCTGGTCTATATAGTGAGTTCCAGGCCAGCCAGGGTTATACACAAGTTACTTTTGTTAGGTATGGCGGCACATACCTGGGGTAAAAGAATTAATTAATTAGAAAGCTACTTTGAAGGCTGGAATGTATATCTCAGTGATAGAATGCTTGTCTGGAGTCTATAAGCCCTGGATTCAATCCCAAAACAGAAGGGAAGGAGGGGGAAAGAGAGACAGGCAGTTTTTATATTGTAGCATCTGAGAAACCTGCACTTTGTCCTCAGAGTCAGTTAACCTTTAACTCCCAGCCTGTTCTGAAGGTCTCGGTGATTCTGTTGGCAGAGTTGGGCTCAGACTCGGTGGCAGTGAGACAGTGATTTTTAGCAGCAGCTCCAGGACCCCCATCTTCCTGCCTGCCCCATGGATGTGCCTGCACTTGAAGGCACATGGGGGTGCACTGCAGACAGCCTGGGCCTCAGAACTGAGAACTTACTGGTGAGCGAGCATACAGCTGCCGCCATAGTGGTCTGGGACCGGCTGAGAGAGGCTCACACAGATGCTCACACAGACCCTTCACACTAACCTTGCTGAGACTCAGCAGCACTACTAATGAAGACATTTTGAAGGCCAAGTGGAAAAAGCTCAGCCAGAACCAGTGTGGAATTCTTCAAAAGCCTAATGGCATTGGCAGTTTAAAAATATTAAAAAAGACTAGGCGGCGGTGGTGCATGCCTTTAATCCCTGCATTCAGGAGGCAGAGCCAGGCGGATCTCTATGAGTTCGAGGCCAGCCTGGTCTACAGAGCAAGTCCCAGGACAGGCTCCAAAGCTACACAGCAAAACCCTGGCTCGAAAAACAAACAAACAAACAAATTTAAAAAGTGCCAGGGTATGGCTCAGTGGCACAGAACTTGCCTCACATGTGAAAAGAAACCTCTGGGCTGGATTCCCAGCACCACAACAAACACACACGAAAACAAAAACTGTATCAAGGAGGCTGGAGAGGTAGCTCAGTGGTTATGAGCACTTGGGGCTAGAGTTCGGATCCCAGCACCCGTATCAGGCAGCTCACATACAGCACAGGGGAGTTAATCTCTTACAGAAGCCCAAGCAAACTCTTTTTAAAACATGCCGTTTATGTGAGGGACTGGGAGGAGAAATCTCCTGAGTCGCCCTTCATCACGGTGCATTGGTGCTTTAGAGGAGGGGGTGTTTTTATTTATGTGTCTGTGGGTGAGTGCCCATGCCCACAGCAGCCAGAAGAGGGAGTCAGGTCCCCTGGAACTGAAGTCACAAGCAGTTGTAAACCAGCCCTCTGGAAGAGCAGCGAGTGTTCTGAACCACCGAGCCAGCTCTCCAGACGCCCAGAAGTCATTTCATATTTATCCAGAGTGTCTTTCACAGGGCCATGATTATAAGTTCCTATTTCAGAAGGAAACTTTGGAGGTCCTGTAGAGATAGTAGTTTTTCCTGGCCACCTTGCTGTAGGGATCATAGGATGGGGTAGAAGAGCGCTGTGGGGAACACCTGGACCAAAGGACATTTAATGTGGCCCAGGTAGTTTGTGTTGAGAGGTTTCTGTACTTTAAGCAAAAGCTCTGCCCATTTATTCAGACTTTTTTCTGTATTGTTGGCACATGTTTAAATTCCAACATTTGGTTGGCAGTATTAAAAGACTCCATACATTTATACCTACAAAAGATAGTTCACATCTCTTCCCTCTACCCCTAGGAGACTGTCTTCCCACCTCAGTCTTCCCTTGTTTTGTTTGTTTGTTTGTTTGTTTGTTTTTGGGTTTTTTTTGAGACAGGGTTTCTCTGTGTAGCTTTGGAGCCTGTCCTGGAACTCACTCTGTAGACCAGGCTGGCCTCAAACTCACAGAGATCCGCCTGCCTCTGCCTCCTGGGTGCTGGGATTAAAAGCATGCGCCACCACCACCGCCCGGCTTCTCTTGGATTTTTGTGGTGCTGGGGATCAAACAATGCATCGCACATGCTGGGACTCGACAGGCTCTCTATCACTGAGCTATCCCCACTTTTCTAGCCTGTCTTTGAAAGTTCTTCTTAAGAATTCTAGGTGGAGTTGGGTGTCCCAGATCGTGACCTCTCAGGGTTCTCTGTTACCTTCATCGGGGTACCCCCATTTACCATCATTCTCTGTTGCTGTATCTACTCTGTTCTCCAGGCCATGAGGAAGCAGAATTTGAGACATGGGTCTGGTCCATGTGGAGTAATAAGTCATGACAAAATGACAGCTACAGATTTGTCCGCAGTCCTGTGTATTAGTCATTTTCACATTGCTACAACTGAATAATCAAGACAGCTTACTTATGGGGGCAAAGGTTTATTTATCTCATGGTTTTGGAAGCTCAAAGTCCAAGATTGAGGGGGTTTGAGGGACACTGGTTTAGCCCTTTATACAATGGCTTGCCATGGTGAGAGCATGTATAGGAGCGATGTCCCATCTTACAGTGGGAAACAGAGAGATTAGACGGGTCCCACATTCCCTTTTGTGGATACATCCCAGTGATCTAAGGAACTCCCCCAAGTCATTCCTCTTAGAGGTGGCAGTATTAGGGTGTAGTATAAAAACCATGTCCCAAATTCTTCCTCCTCCTTCTCGCCTGGAGAACAGAGTAGACACACCAACAGATAATGATGTAAGTGGGACACACTCGTGAATCTCTCAATTTCACAGATTTAATTTTTAAGAAAGAAAAATTCTTTGAGCTAGAAAATTATCAAGCATGCCAGTAATCCCAGCACTTGAGAGATGTAGGCAAGAAGACCAGGAGTTCAGGGTTATCCTTGGCTACATAAGGAGTTCAAGAGGCTACATGAGACCCTGTTGAAAGAAGGAAGGAAGGAAGCTTTGTTTGGTTTGGATTTTGAGGCAGGGTCTTACCTTGTATCCCTGACTGGCCTGGAACTGACTGTGTAGACCAGGCTGGCCTCTGTCTACCAAGTGCTGGGATTAAAGGCCTGCACCACCATGCCCGGTGAAGTTTTTAACAATAGCACAGGTGGTAGCCAAGGCTGAGAGAGGCAAGGGTAACTGGTTAGTAGGTACCAGGGCTTCTTTCAAGGTAATAGGGATGTTTTGGACCTAGACAGAGCTAGTAGTGACACAGTAGTGTAGGCCGGGTTCAAATCACGTGAGTGGTACAAAATGACCATCGTTTTCCAAACACTGCTATAAGATAACAAGTGTCCTGAGGGGTAGGAAAGGTAAGAAATGAGGTGTGCTGCAGAGAGGCTCCCAGGGGCCAGGCTCCGAAGTGTTCCAGAGGACAAATTGCACAAGTGCCCTTAGGAAGACTGAGGAAATTGGAAGGTCACCTCGCTGCAGGTCGCTGTAAAGTTGGTCAATCTCTGCTGGCGGGCAGCTCTGTGGACTCTGTTAGCGCTCCACTGAAAAGACGGGCCTTTGTTTCGGCTCACAGCCTCAGAGACTTTAGTCCCTGTTGCCTTTGGGCCTGTGGTGAGACAGAACATGGCAGGGGATGTATGGTGGAAGGGGCTGCTCCCCTGGCAGCTGGCAGCAGAGGGAAATGGGATAGGCTCCCGATCACACTGCCGGTGACCTAGCAAATCACCAAACTAGACCCTACCCTATACAGTTCCCGCCACCTCCAGTAGACTCATGGCTGGCCACTAAGCTTTAATCATGGACCCCAGTGGGACCTTTAAGATCCAGTCCAGCCAAACGTTGTAGTTGGACTTTCTTTGGACCGCCAGCTCCCAAATAATGACATGGAGACTTCTTATTAAGTATGAAAGCTTGGCATTAGCTTAGGCTTGTCCCAACTATCTCTTATAACTTAAATTAACCCATTTCTATTAATCTACCTTCTGTCACGTGGCTCGTTACCTCTCCATACTGTACACCTGACTTGCTCCACGTCTTGCTGACAAATCCCACCACCTCTTCTTCCCAGAGTTCCTATCTCTGCCTGGAAGTCATGCCTATCTTCTCCTGCTTAACCATTGGCCATTCAGTTCTTTATTAAACCAATCCAAAGGTGCCTTTCACACAGTGTGATCAAATATCCCGCAACAAAATGTGGTTGCTCTAATCCCAACCACAGGAGTCTGAGACAGGAGAATTGCTACAAGTTGAAGACCAGCTCTGGCTATGTAAGTAAGGTCCAGGCCACCTGTATCCAGGTCCAAGACACAGAATAAGACTATCTTCAAAGATAGATAGATAAGCCTGGTGGTGGTGGTACACGCCTGTAGTCCCAGCACTCAGGAGGCAGAGGCAGGCGGATCTCTATGAGTTCAAGGCTAAACTGGTCTACAGAGCGAGTTCTGGGGACAGCCAGAGCTACACAGAGAAACCTTGTCTCAAAACAAAAAGAAGATAGATGGATTGACTTAGCCCTAACACTGTAGCTCTCCTGAAGAGGGTCCTCACTGACTTAACGTGCGTTTGTTTTGTTTTTCAAGTGGCCCCAAGCGCTATGACTGGACGGGGAAGAACTGGGTGTACTCCCACGACGGCATGTCCCTGCATGAGCTGCTGGCCAGGGAACTGACAGAAGCCTTCAACACCAAACTGGACTTGTCTTCCTTGGCCTATTCGGGAAAAGGCACCTGAGCACCTGCCAGATTCAAAGACATTAAACGGACCCCCAGCCTTCTTCTGTGGCTGAGTGTCTGGTTTCCATGCCTGCTTCCGAGGACAGTCACACTGTGTTTGACAGCTCTGTGAAAAACAGTGTGTTACCACTCCCACCCTGTCCCCAGATCTGGCTCTTCATTTCTACAGAGGTTTGTTAGGATGGACTCGTTTCTCCCCGTGTGACCCCAAATCTCTTAGAATGTCTTACACCATACGTGCACCTGACAGCCTCAGGAAAAGGGCTCGGAGGGTGGAACAAGTTGTTCCCACTCTCCAGTTCTTTGAAGGATTTATTGTAAAAGCTTCACGAAGAGCCATAGGCCGACCTGCCATTGTGTCTGAAATGACATTGTAAGGAATAGCTTCTAAATGTCACTCCAAGTGTGTACACTTCAGAGCCTTTTAGCAGCTCCATGTCAAAAGGGACCATCTTAAAACACCCGTTTGTGCTTTGTGGCCTGGACTGGGCACCAAGACCTGTGCTCTGTGGCCTATACTGGGCACCAGGACCTGTACTCTGTGGCCTATACTGGGCACCAGGACCTGTACTCTGTGACCTATACTGGGCACCAGGACCTGTGCTCTGTGACCTATACTGGGCACCAGGACCTGTACTCTGTGGCCTATACTGGGCACCAGGACCTGTACTCTGTGGCCTATACTGGGCACCAGGACCTGTACTCTGTGGCCTATACTGGGCCAGGACCTGTACTCTGGCCTATACTGGGCACCCAGGACCTGTGCTCTGTGACCTATACTGGGCACCAGGACCTGTGCTCTGTGACCTATACTGGGCACCAGGGCCTGTGCTCTGTGGCCTATACTGGGCACCCAGGACCTGGGTAGTATTGTCTTTATGCTTTCATAGACGAGGGTCATTACAAAGTCAGCAGCTACAACTCGGACCTGAAATGTCCTTAAAAATTGAAAACTGGGCTGGAGGGATCACTTAGTCCACAAGCACTTACCACACTAACCTGAAGACCCAGGTTTGATCCTGGGAGCCCACATTAAAAACACCAGGCATGGTGTGTGAGTTTATACTCCGGGCACTGGAGAAGTAGAGCTGGGAGGACCCCTGGGGCTTGCCGGCCAGCCTGCCTAGCTTCATCAGTGAACCCAGGGGCTCTGGGAGCAAGGTGCATGGCTCAGGTTGACCTCTGCCCTCTACACATGTGCACATGTACCACACAATCATACGCATACACACAAATTCACACATGCTAAATAATGCATGGATAACTCCAGGCAAGGAGGGAAAAGACTACCATAACCCAAAGGATTAAACAATGTCGAGGAGCTGAGGGTGTGTCCATGAGAGAAATGCCTGACTGTCACAGAGAGCCCTGGCCCTCCACTTACCATCTATTCAGTGAACGGGTAGAATTGGTACCTGACATTCAGGGGACCAGCCAGGCATTCCACGAGGCTGTTTTGTTCCCACTAGGTTGGGGGGGGAATGGGCGGTGAGCAGGTATTTTTTTTTTATTCCTTTTTTTTTTTCGAGACAGGGTTTCTCTGTGTAGCTTTGCGCCTTTCCTGGATCTTGCTCTGTAGACCAGGCTGGCCTCGAACTCACAGAGATCCGCCTGCCTCTGCCCCCCCCCCCCCCCCCCCCCCCCCCCCCCCCCGAGTGCTGGGATTAAGGCGTGCGCCACCACCACCCGGCAGGTATTTTTTTTAGGCCTGCAGAAATGGTACTGTTTTTGCTACTGTTCTGTTAGACTTTCAGACAAACTCATTTTGAGCTAACAGCTGCCCTTGTTCTCCATGTGCTGAGTCCAGCACACCATTGCACTGTTTCAAGTTTTACAGGCCACACTCCGTACAAGAAGCAAACATTCCAGGACAGCCAAACTGAGTGCAGTAAACTCGGGTTCTGGCCATCTTCTGACGAAAGGAAAGTTAGCCTAGCATGCAAAAGGCCCTGAGTTCCATCCCCACACGACAAAGGGCTGGGAGATTTGTTAGTGGCAAGTCTATGCAAATGTACAGCAGAGGCTACGCGGGGTGAACTGAAGGCATTACATCATAGAAAAAACAATGGAGCAGTGTAAACAAAGGCTGAGTGGGTATTTAAGATATTTCCTTCTTCACAATTTTTTTCTTTTGGTCTGGTGGAAATTTTTGAGTGAGGTTAAGCCAGTGCTAGTGAGATAATAAATAGGACCATGTGTAGACATGTCTACGGGTGTGTCTTGGTCTTCTAGTGAAAGTCTCAGTACCCCTTGCCTGCTTGAAACAGTGAGACCCCACCTGAGACTTAACGGAACTTCGAGTATGCCCTGGCTGCCGCAGCAGATGGAAGTTGGGGAGTCTGCTGTTACGGGTGCCTCATGGACCGGTCCTTAGGCTTCTTAACTTTCACTTTACATGTCTCTGACTGGCTTCCAAGGCAGCAGAGATCTCATTTCAGGGAGGATATGAACACCCTGCTGGGTGAGAGGTCACCCTGAACACCAGACGTGATGGTGCTCTTCTGTGGTCCTGGCATTTTGAACTCAAAGGTAACAGAAGCAAATAAGTTTGGGCTTAAGATTTAGTTTCATCATTTGTTTCTGGGACATCGATATGTAGCCCAGACTGACCTTGAGTCTAAGACAGTTCTGCCTTTGTCTCCCAAAGGTTAGGATTGTGGGTGTGCCACCCCGCCTGACGAGAGTTAAAATCGTGATATAAAGCTGCCCAGGTTTTGCACTACATAATTCAAGACACCACTATCCAGAGATGACAGTAACTATGATGAGCTATAAATGATACCACCCACCAAAAACTGCTCAGAATGTGAGGCTGCAGCTGGAGATCACAAGTTCAAGGGTAGCCTGGGCCACACAAGACCCTGTCGCAACTCATTCTAGCCAGTTATGGTAGCATACGTTTTTTAATCCCAGTACTCAGGAGGCAGGGGCAGGAGGATCCCTTGAGTTTGAAGCCAGCCTAGTCTACATAGTGAGTTCTAGGCCAGCCAGATCCTGTCTCAAAAAAACCAAAGATAAATTCATACTCCGGAAGCAAGCTGGAAAAAAACCCACCACATCATGAGCCACAACCCACACCTAAGACCCTCACTCTGTATGGTCTTATCACCACAAGCAAGGTTCAGTCTAAAATTTGGAAAGTTATTTTGTTGCTTTTCTACTTGAGTTTTTTTGTGGGGCTGGGATTTGAACTCAGGGACTTGTGCATCCGAGGTAAGTGCTTTATTACTGTACTACACCCACAGGTTCTCTTCTGTGAGTGTGTGTGTGTTAGAATGAAGTTTTCCAACTTTGATATTTTCATTAAACAGTAAGTTTACAATATGTCTTCTATTATACCTGCCTCAACTTTAAACCGTGTAGCTACTGCCAAAGAAAGGCCGATGTCTGTAAAGATGAAGTTTGTGGAGGTCCAGAATTGCCAAGGTACATCTTCCATCCTCTAAGGTAAAAGCAACAGGAAGTTATATCCAGTTGAATTCTTGGCACAGATGTATCTTTTACAAACTGAAGCAGCTACATGCCACAAAGAGAAGAAGGCACAGAGCTATAGAGCCTCTCGATAATGTCGGCTGCTTTTTGGCTGGGGATTAAGCTCGGTTGGTACAGTGCTTACCTAGTGGGCTCAAAGTCCTAAATGCAACCCCCCAGCACTACGTAAGTGGCATGGTGGCACATGCCTGGAATCCCAGCACTTGGGAGGTGGAGGCAGGAAAATGAGAAATGTAAGATCATAGCCAGTTCAAGGTCAGCCTGGCCTACACACATGAGATCCTGTCTCAGTAAGTAAATCTATGCCACTTTTCGAGATAACTTCACGACTGTGTGCATAAGAAATTCCTCGGAGGGGCTGGAGAGATGACGAAGTTGGGAAAGTGCTTGCCACAAAAGCGTGATGACCTGAGTTCAGACCCCTAGCACCTGCGTGGGAAAAATGGGGCGTGGCAGCACACTGGTGTAATCTCAGTGCGGAGGTGGCGGGGCAGATGACTCTGGAGTTCCCTGGCTCTGAGCATCCAAGCCACTAAAAGACCCTGCCAAAAACAGAAGATGGGGGAGTGACTGAGAAGACACCCATCATTTTGTCATGGACCTCTCACCTCCACATGTGCACACATAAATAAGTGTCCAGAATCCTTGCTTTAACTGGTGATGATATCGGAGTAGATATTGAGTCCTTGATTAAGGGCCTGGATGACAGGGACTCACTTTATTATTGATTTTTTTTTTTCTTCAGCACCAGGAACTTAAGGTTTCACACATGCTAGGCAAGCCTATCTCTGAGCTGTACTCCCAGTCCAGAAGCTCACTTCCTAAGTCTGCATCTGCTAGAGACAGAATGCAAATTCCAACATCCCATCTCGCCTACTCCTGTTGATTAAGAGATAGAATGTACTGAGCAGATTTATTGAACTGTTTGTTTATTAGAATGTTGAGGAAAACACATGTACCCAACAGCAACTTTGCCTCCCAAGGACTTCTTCCTGTCTAAGAGGGGAGTCAGGTATGATAGGCCATTGCAAGCACAGAGCTTAGTATAAGCCAAGCCTCTGAGGACCAATGGTATTTCTGTGGTCAGTCTTGGCATTGGGAAGCCCACTTGATGTTGCTTTATTTTAGGGGCTAGAGAGATGGCTTGGTAGAGGACTAGAGTCCTCTTATAGAGGACCAGAGTCTTCAATCCCAGCACCCATGTATGGCAGCTCTCAACTGCCCGTAACTCCAGCTCCAGAGGATCAGATGTCCTCGTCTTGCTTCTGCAGGTACCCACACATATGTGGCATTGTTGTGTGACAAAACTTCTGAGAAGATGCATCACACATCCACTCACCCCAGATAGAGACCAAAGTATTGATACCACCAAAGTCCAACTTGGTGAACCAGTGAGTTTTAACTCCTGCAGGGATATGAATGGTTATTACGAGAGCGGAAATGACTCAGAGGCAGCTGCATCACCCAGGCCCACCCCAGCATGGGTGACAGCTCCCAAAAGCTGGGGACCTGGACACATTTCACGCTGTGCAGACAGCTCAGCAGGTTGGAGAGTGTCCTTTCTAATTGACTCTGGTCTGAATCTCCTCCAGGCTGCTCATCTGGTCTCAGTCTTCTTTGCAGCTTGGCGGAGAGGAACGCTCAGCTTTTATTGCTTACTCTGGCAGGGAGGGGCCTAATGCGTCTGGTCAGTTTCAGGGACTTTCTGAAGCTGTTTTGAAAAAAAAGGTGGTGGTGGGGGTGTGTGCTAAAAAGATGACTCAGCAGTTCTTAAAAACCCACATGGTAGCTCACAAACCACTGTTACTCCAATTCCAAGGATACAACACCCTCTTTTGGCATTAGGCATACACACACACACATACACACACATACACACACACACACACACACACACACACACACACACACACACAGACACACATGCAGGCACACGCACACGCAAGTACAGGTGCAAAACGATACATATAAATAAACCTTTAAAAAGAAACAATTGCTGCAGAATCACTTGAATTTACCAATGAGCTGGACACGGATTTTTTTGTGTTTAAAAGGATTTTGTTCACTGTTTTTCATGAGTATTATTATTGTTGTTATTATTGTTATTATTTGTTTTTCAGGTTGGTTTGTTTTTTTGTTTTTTTGTTTTGTTTTGTATTTTTTGTTTTTGGAGAAAAGGTTTCTCTGTGTAGCCCTGGCTGTCCTGCACCACCACTGCCCAGCTTTCACTGTTGTTTTTACAAATAATAAAATATTCAAAATGCAATTTATTTTATTTTATTTATTTTTTTGTGGCTAGCATTTGGCATGTCTAGAAGAGGCTAGAGGAAGTTGGAGTCTGCATCATTCAATGTCTAAAACCAGGGAAGGAATGACCAATTCAAAACTTCATTTGGTCAGGACCTGACTTGAAATCACATCTACTGCAGGTGTTCTAAGTCAGAAATGCTGTGTTTTGTAACTAAGGAGCCCAAACTTGGATCTGACTAGTGAAAATTTACAGGTGCTGTGTGAACCACAGAATACTAGCAGCCAATCGCCTGATTCTAGCATGTATACTACTTGGCTCGTGAAAATTTTATAAATATCTCTTAAATCCAGCCTCCGGACTCTTGGAAATCAGTTGCCTTCATCTGCTTCCCATGACTTGTTTAAACAAATATGCAACATTTTTTTCCCCTGCAAGATCACACACTTAAGTGTGTGCTGCCTGTGGGCAGATACAGAGGAAGCAGGTCCTGCTGTGAATCTACAAGCCAGCCTGTGCAGCTGTGCCTCTTGGCTAAGAAAGCCCCACCCCCCCACCCCCAACTCCCGAAGGCCCTAGATGAACC